CCATTAATAATAGTAAAATATAGTATAAATAATACAGGTAATAAAAATAATAATAATAATAATATATAGAGTTTCCAGATCATTTTTTATTATTTAATTATTGCCCATTTTTAGAAGAATTTAAATTAAAACATTTAATAGAATCATGTAATACATTAATAAAAATCAATAAAATTAAAGCAAAGCAATCACTTCTTTTATTTGATTTTCAATTAAATATAAATGGTTTTAAAGCAGTACAGTTAAATTCACTACTAGAAACCTTTAGCAATAATAATATAATAGTTAAAAAGTTTATAAAGTTTTATTTATTAACCAGTGAAAATTATAAAACCAGTAATAACAGTTTAGTATATTATTTAAAATATAATCAAGAAAATAATAATAAAAATAAAAATAAAAAATTAAGGTTTCAAAATAATAATAATAACGATCATAATAATCTTGTAAACTTGATAGTGAATAATGACTTTTCAACATTCCAACTAAATAGTTATTTTACACTTTCATTTCGCTATGGTAATAATTTTTTATTAAGAAAGTGGTTTAACCAGTCCCCAGAGAACAATAACGAAGCCATCGAAGAGTATATATCTACAATACACAAGGAAAATTTAGACCCATCATTTTTATTCCAATTCTGTATGGATGATCACCAAAAGAAAGTTCAGTTCATCAAAGATGTAGTTAGGGATATAAAAGACGAGTCAATAGAGGACGAGAAAAAACTGCATCCAGTGTTCTTCTTCAATTTGGTGGTGGGTGTGGACGATTTAAAGTTAATAGAGCTGGCATTGTGTGAAATAGGGTCGCAGCTATTGAATACTTCACCATTAAGCAACCGTGGTTATTATTACAGATGCATTCGTTCAAAAAAAGTTTTAGAATACCTCATAAGAAACGTCCCCATCGAGAATCACTTTGACACTTATAGCTGGTACCGTTATGGTTCTATCGATCTATTGGAGCACTATGAATCATTAATACCGCAAAATTCAAGATTGCTTTATATAAATCAACTATGCAGACATATATACACAATATTCAAATCATCTTTTCTAGGTCTACTCGAGTCATCATTATATGTATTTAAAAAACCCAAAAGATATCACATTGATTCTTTTGTTGTTGATTTTTTACTATGCTTTAATGATGATGAAATTAATTGTGACCTCTCACCCATCCATTTTATCATCGAAAACACCCGGTTCAATTACAATCCGTTTCAATTAAAAAGAAATTATTCAATTCATCTCTTAAAGCTATTTGAATGGATTTACAGAAACCGTTATAGTGATCTAGAAATTGGAGGTCGTTGTATGATATCATTATCACAAAAAAAAGAATTAATTTATTTGGTTGGTGGTAATATTAAATCTAATTACTTTAAAAAGGATTTTCAAAATCAGGAGTTCAATTTCCTTCATTCAGAGCTGCTTATTGAAAGAATAATAGAGAACAGCGATTTAAAAATGTTGAATTTAATATTAATAACCATTAAAAATAGAGTCATAGAGAATCAATCAATTAACAACGAAAAAATTCTCAGTTTCTTATTTCATAATATTTCAAAATACTCTAAAATCGATTTAATTCAATATATAGAGGATCAACCATTTTTAAAAGACTTTAAATTATTAGATATTTATTTAAATAATTTTAAATTGTTAATATTAAAAAAAATGATTTTATTTAATAATAAATAAATAAATAAAATAAATAAATAAATAAATAAATAAATAAATAAATAAACAAATAATTTTATAGTTTTATTTATTTTTAAATACACACATAATTTTATTTTCCTTTTTTTTTTTGTTTTTTTTTTTTTTTTTGTTTTTTTGTTTGTTTTGAAAATGTCAGTTTTTTTATTTTATTTGTAACTATTGATTTTGTTTTTGATGTTGTTTTTTTTTTTATTTGGTTGTTTTGTTGTTGTTGTTGTTGTTGTTGGTATTTAAGTTGTTGTGTATTATAGCTGTTAATGTTTTTACCTTTTTTTTTTATTTTTAAATTGTGGGGTTGAATAACACTATAAAATTTTTTTTTTGGATTATTTAAAAAACTGAAAAAAATACCCCCACACAAACACAAACAAATCACACACACACATATATCACATCACATCACATATTTAATTCTTTAAATCTAAACTATATTATAATAATAAAAAAAATAATATTTAGAGATGAAAATCAATCACACCCATTTTTCCCAAAAAATAAAAATAAGTAAAACACATTTTTTATCACCCACACTTTGATATATTTTAAACAAAATGATGGTATTATTAATAATTTAATGATTCATTTTAATAGTGTATTGTTTATAATTTATTTTTTTACTATTTTTGTTTTTTTATAAAATTAACTAATTATTTTTATTATTATTATAATTTATTTTATTTTATTTTTTTTTTTTTTTTTTTTTTTTTTTTTTTTTTAAATTTTTTTGGTAGTTTGGGGGTTATGAAAAAAATTGAATTTAGGGGGGCTTTTAGTTTAAAGAGAGGTTTTATTAAATTGTTTTTTTTATTTTTTTTTTCAACTAGTTTAATTATATATGTATTTATAATTAGTGGTAATGTAAATGGTATTTTTTTTATTTTTTTTTTCAAATTAAAAGATTTAAATCTTGAAAAAATATAAAAAAAAAAATATATAAATTTATCTAAAAGGTTAATTTGTTAAATTTTATTTTATTTATTTTTTTATTATTTATTTATTTATTGTTTTTTTTTTTTTTCTATTTTTTCCTTCACTTTTTTTTATTTTATCATTTTTTATTTTACTCTTTTTAACATTTTCATTTTAAAAAAATAAAAAAATGAATTTAATTAATACTGCATTATTTATTATTATTTATTATTTAGTTTTTTCATTAGTAAATATTACTGATTATTAATATATTGTTAAAATAAATTATATTAACCTCTTTTTTTTTTAATCTAGATTAAAAAAAATAAAAAAAGAAATGAAAATTCATTAAATGGACCATTTGCTTTACCAATTCTCGGGAATGCTCTTCAGTTATATGGTGACAAACCTCACTATAAAATGGACGAGTTAAAAAAGAAATATGGATCAATTTTTAGAGTTTATATGGGCGATTTGGGTAAATATTAATTTTATAAAAAATAAAAAAAAAAAATGGAAATAATTAATTTAATTTTTTTTTTTTTAAAATTATTTTGATTATAGAAACTGTCGTTATTAGTGACTGGGAGATAGTAAAAGAAATGTTTTCAAAAAATTTCGATAAGTTTGGAGATCGTGTAAAAGCCCCAACAACTAAGCACTTTAGTAATAATTATAATAATTTAACATTAAGCCACGGTGATAATTGGTTAGAAATAAAAGAATTTTTAACTAATGCTTTAAAAAAAACCAAACTAATTTGCTTTAATCAGTTGTTAGACGATCAAGTAACTCAACTATTACAAGTTTTTAACAACTATGCGGATGCCAAAGAGCCATTTGAACCACGTTATTTTATCCAACGTTTTTCCTTAAATATTATTTTCAAATTTTGTTTTAATCAAGATTTCTCTTTTGATGGAATTTCAAAAAAATACGATCAATCAATTAATAAAACAGAAGTTGGTAAACACGGAGTTGGTAATGGTAAAAGATTAACAGAGCTACTAGAGTTAATTGATGTTGTTTTTGAAGAATTGGCCGTCAATCATTTGGGTGACTTCGTTGATATCTTAAAGCCATTTTTTTCCTTATATTTAAAATATAAAAGCACTTCAATTTATGAAATAAGAAATATAATAATGGAAGAATATCAAAAACACAAAGAATCTTTTGATTCAGAAAAGCCCAGAGATTTATTAGATTTGTTATTGCAAGAATTTGAATACAATATCGAAAATGATGGTAGTAAATGTCCAAAGAAGAATGTAGAGAAAATAGTAGGTATTTTAATAGATATGTTAATGGGGGCAGTAGACACTACAGGTTCCTCTTTAGAATGGTGTATTTTATTATTGGCTAACTATCCAGAGGTTCAAGAAAAAGCTTTTAATGAAGTAAAGTCGTTAAACAAAGACCGTATTAATTTATGTGATCGTTCCTCCACCATTTATGTAAATGCTCTAATCAAAGAGGTACTTAGATATAAATTTATCTCACCATTTGGTATCCCACGTTCATGTTCAGAGGATTGCTATATTCAAGGTCATCATATTCCACAAGGGGCACAAATAATTATTCATTTCCGTGGTATTTATTTCAATGAAGAATTTTTCCAAAATCCATTAGATTTTGATCCATCAAGATTTTTATTAAATAACGATTCATCAAACACACAATTTGTACCATTCGGTATCCCAAAAAGAAACTGTCCAGGTCAATCAATTGCAATGTGTGTACTTTATATTCTGAAATAAAAATATTTTATAAACTAACATTTTCTCTTTTTTAAATCATATAGGGATGAGTTATATGCTTCAATTTCAAATATTCTATTAAATTTTAAAATAACAACTGTAGACAGTGCTCAAATTGATGAAACTGAAGGTAATTTTTGTTAATCCGACAATTATTATTTTAAATATTAATTTTTTTTTTTATTATTTATTTAGTATTTGGTTTAACTTCTCATCCCAATTTATTTAATGTTAAAATTGAAAAAAGAAATTAGATTTAAGTTCAAAATTGTAAATTTTAAAATTTAAAAAACAAATAAATAAGAATTATTTTTAAAATTTTTTTAATTTTTTAGAAATTATAAAATGTTTATTTTATTTTATTTTATTTTTAATTGTTTAAATTAATTGTTATATGAAATGAAATATGTTAAATCTACTATATTTTCGGTTGATAATTGATTACCTACAGTAACAGTTACTAAATGTTCCAAACCAATACCTGGTGGAATTATACATTTAATTAAGCTTGAGTTAATCCATTGAACATCTTGACATCTATAATCTGTACCAATTGAAACATAGTTTTCGTTTCCATTCCATTCAATAGTTGAGGATTCGTTTAATTGTTTATCGAATATTTCTTGAGTTGGTGGGAAGTTATATCCATGAATAGTAATTTCATCACCTTCTTGAACAACGGGGTTAAATGTTGGGTCGTCCAATGGTGATTCGATTTGTGGTGGTAAGAATGAATATTCAAATGAATAGCCTTCGTAAACAGTAACTAAGTCATTATTAAAGAATTTGATTAAACCTTTGCAGACATTTGGTGTTGGTAAAATACAAACATAAACATCATATTTAAAGTCATCAAAGTATTGAGCATTGTTTGTTAATGTTGTATTGTCGGTACATGGGTTTTCTTGGTTACTATTATTAATTGGTTCAATTTGTTTATATGGGTTATTACATTGAAGTTCTATTTCGCAATGTAGTTTTTCTTTTTCACCATTTGGATGATCAATGAATGGATATACTAAACGTTCTGCCAAAGAACCAAAGTTTATACCAAATACAAAGAATCTGTTTATATCCGACGTATTGAAATCTTGATGATCAACATGGAGAATGGTTGGTGGATTATAATTAAATTCTATAAGATTACTTTGACTGCTACCATTACCATAATAAAAACTTACCATAATGCTAACTTTTGAAAAACCATTTGGGACAATCGTAATGATTTCAGTTGAAGAGATTGAAATTATTTCACTGTCTGTAAAACCGATAATCCTATCACCGAATCGCATTGTAAAATCATTAAATATTAGTGGGAACTTGCCATAAATTGTAATTGTATCACCAACAGATGAGTTGAAATTTGATAAATTTGTAATAATTGGTTTATACGATATATTATAAGTTGGGTTTGTGGGGTCTTCAGTTGATGGTTGGTTACCAACAGTAACAGTTACTAAATGTTCCAAACCAATACCTGGTGGAATTATACATTTAATTAAGCTTGAGTTAATCCATTGAACATCTTGACATCTATAATCTGTACCAATTGAAACATAGTTTTCGTTTCCATTCCATTCAATTGTTGAAGATTTGTTTAATTGTTTATCGAATATTTCTTGAGTTGGTGGGAAGTTATATCCATGAATAGTAATTTCATCACCTTCTTGAACAACGGGGTTAAATGTTGGGTCGTCCAATGGTGACTCGATTTGTGGTGGTAAGAATGAATATTCAAATGAATAACCTTCGTAAACAGTAACTAAGTCATTATTAAAGAATTTGATTAAACCTTTGCCGACATTTGGTGTTGGTAAAATACAAACATATATATCGTAAATATGACTATCAAAGTATTGGGCATTGTTTGTTAATGTTATATTGTCGAAACATGAATGATTTTGATTACTATTATTAATTGGTTCAATTTGTTTATATGGGTTATTACATTGAAGTTCTATTTCGCAATAAATTTTTTCTTTTTCACCATTTGGATGATCAATGAATGGATATACTAAACGTTCTGCAAAAGAACCAAAGTTTATACCAAATACAAAGAATCTGTTTATATCCGACGTATTGAAATCTTGATGGTCAACATGGAGAATGGTTGGTGGATTATAGTTAAATTCTATGATATTACTATCATAATTACTATTATTGGAATAAAAAGTAATCATTATATAAACTTTTGAAAAACCACTTGGAACAATCAAAACTATTTCTGTTGAGGATACTGAAATAATATTAATATCTGTATGATCTATATATCTATAACCAAATTGAATTGTAAAGTTATTAAATATTTCTGGGAAAATACCATAAATTGTAATTGTATCACCAACAGACGAATTATAACTTGATAAACCAGTAATAAATTGTGTTGTGGTTGGTGATTCAGATGGCGTTTCAGATGGAGTTTCAGATGGTGTTTCAGATGGAGTTTCAGATGGTGTTTCAGATGGTGTTTCAGATGGTGTTTCAGATGGTGTTTCAGATGGTGTTTCAGATGGTGTTTCAGATGGTGTTTCAGATGGTGTTTCAGTTGAGGGTATGTAGAAAGGATTTATTATTGAACATGACATAATATCACCTGTACATTTAACTGATATATTGTATATTGTTATATTATCTTGACCACATTCTATAGCTTTTTTTTCACTGTTTAATTTACATTTGTATGTATCCAAAAAGTATTTTTCGGTGCCATCATCACCAATACAAATAAATCCTTCTAAACCATTATTTATAACTGTTAGTGTCGAGTTTTTTTTATTTATTAAACAAGAGAGTGCTCTACTATTATTTGGGTTGGTAGGAGACGAGATTTGACCAAAATTACTATTTCCTTTGGTTATTGAACATATTGAATCTTCAATATAGCATTTAACTGTTTGATTAAATTCCAGAATAATTTTATTATCAGTTGAACATGTAATAATTTCACTATTTTCGTTGTGGTTGCATTCTAGGCTTCCATTGTAATAATAGCTTGTTTGTTTTTCGTCAGTACAATAAAGTTCTTGAGATTCATAATTATTGATCTTTAGTCTTGTTTTGTCAATGTTATAATCGCAAACAATAACTGATGGATCAATGGATGGTGTAAGTGTAGGTATAACTGAAGGAGTAGGGGTACTTTCTTCACTTGAGGATCCTGGGATTACTCCACCACCTGTTGTTGGGGTACCTGTGAGCGGTGGTGAAGTTCCTGTGGTTGAATCTGGTGTGTTTGTCGTCCATCCTGGATTGCTGGTAATGGTAGTTCCACCTGGATTGCTGGTAGTTCCACCTGGATTGCTGGTAATGGTAGTTCCACCTGGATTGCTGGTGGTTCCACCTGGATTGCTGGTAATGGTAGTACCTCCTTGGTCACTAGTAGTTCCTCCTGGACTACTGGTTCTGGTAGTTCCTCCTGGATTACTGCTACTGGTGGTTCCTTCTTGGTCACTGGTAGTTCCACCTGGATTACTGCTACTAGTGGATCCTTCTTGGTCGCTGGTAGTTCCACCTGGATTACTGCTACTGGTGGATCCTCCTTGGTCGCTGGTGGATCCTCCTGGGTTGGAGTTGCCAGTGGTGGATGCTCCTGGGTTGGAGTTGCCAGTGGATCCTCCTGGGTTGGAGTTGTCAGTGGATGCTCCTGGATTGGGGATGCTGGTGGTTGCTCCTGGATTGGGGATGCTGGTGGTTGCTCCTGGATTGGGGATGCTGGTGGTTCCTCCTGGGTTGGGATTGCTGGTGGTTCCTCCTGGGTTGGGGATGCTGGTGGTTCCTCCTGGGTTGGGGTTGCTGGTGGTTCCTCCTGGGTTGGGGATGCTGGTAGTTACACCTGGACTAATGGTCATAGTGGTAGATGCAATTCAGGGGTATTTGTTGGAGTTTGGGTGGGTTCTTCACTTTGGTTTGAATTATCATCAATATGAGTAAATGACGATAAAACTGAAGGATATGATTTAAATTGTAAAATTAAATCTTTTAGACCGACTTGTGCTTTTGAAACTTTTAAAATTTTACAATGTACTTCTTTGGATGTTTTAATATCAATTTCTTGACAAAGAATACCACCAACTGAAACAGATAGTTCTTTCATACCTTTTAAGCCTAAATTCATACCTGAAATAATAATATCGGTATCTTGATTGTATTTATTTGAATTCGGGTTCACTATATCGATAGATGGGTTTGAATAGGTGAATGAATAATCAATGTTACTATCTTGATTATTTAATATAACTTGAATTGGGATATTTCTATCAGTGCCTTTTAATGTTTTGATTTTAATTGAATTTTCATGGACTTGAATGATATTGGACTCGTCAATATTTTGATTATTAAACTTAACAGTTAGTTGGTCACCATCTTTATTTTCAATAAAGTTTTTACCATTTAAAGTGACTTCATCATCACCGTCAAAAGAAAGATAATCAGTATTGGAAGATACACTATCAATCTTTGGTGGACCATAATGTTTAAATTGTATATCTGAGTTTGATTCTTGATCCTTTGCAGTAACAATAACTGGTTTTGATGTTTCTTCGTTAGTTTCTGGTAAACTACAAACTATTGGGCCACCATTGTCCCTATCATATTTAGTAATTGAACAGGTATCATCACCAACTTTAACTGATGGATTGATACCAAAGTTGCTTCCTTCAATTGTAATTGAATATGGTTTATTGGTCCTACCTTTATTTGGTGAAACTGAATCCACGATTGGTGCTTTATAAGTGAATAATAGACCGGTGACTTCTTGTGACCCAACAATTATTTTGATATCTAAATCTTTGCCTTCACCGACCGGTACATTACATTTTAATGATGTTTGGTTCACCCATGTAAGTTTTTTACACAATTTACCATCAATTGTTACGCAGTTATTTTCATCTTGTTCTTTAGAATTATATTGAGTTGCTAAATCTTTTGGAATAAAGTTTGAACCAGTAATTGTAATTTCATTATTTCCATGGGTTGATTCTTTATATGTTTTAGAGTCTAAAGTGGGTTTATCATAAGAATAAAGTACTTGGATTGGAGTTTTGTTTTCATCTGTTGTTTCTTTGTTGTTAAGTGATTTTTGATTACCAACAATAAGAGTGACTTTTAAATCTTTACCAATACCTGGAGGTATTATACATGATACATTTGTTGAGTTTTTATAAACAATATCCTTACATGTAAATTCACCAATCGTAATATTAGAGTCTAACCATTTAAAGTCATTTAATTCTGGATAATCTCCAAAAAAATCTAGAGCTATATCGATTATTTCTTGTGGGGGGAAGTTAATACCTAATAAAACTAAATCTAAACCCCCATCTGTTCCATTATTTGATGTATTGGCTGAATCTTTTGCGATGGTAATAAATTCTTTGATTTCTGGAGCTGAATATGAAAATATATGTGTCTTTGTTGAATCAAATACTGAATCTTTGTATATTGAAAATACAATTTCGATTTCTTTACCAATACCAGGTGCTAATAAACATTCCATAGTATCAAAATATACATTTTCGAAATAATCTTTATCTAATTCAATGCATGGATCAAAAAAGTCACTGTTTTGGTGGTCTGGTCTTGGAATAATTTGATTGTCTTCGTCGTAATAGATTTTATTTTTCCAACATACATTATCAATAAACATGCAAGTCAAGGTTTCATTATAAGATGAAACAACTAAATAATTTGTTTCACTCTCTTTTAAACCTTCGCCAATAACCCAAACTGATCTAAAACTTGATGTTGATAAATTTTTGTTTTGAATAAAATGATCTATTCTCATATCTGGATATGAAAAAATAACAGAGTTTGAATATTGTGAATCCATTTTTACTGAAATTAATACATCTTCGAATCCATATGGAACTTCGCATTCTATTTCATTTTCGTTGATAATTTTATAAGATTCGGCTACATTATCACCAAATATTATAATAATGCTGTCACAGTTGATACATGGGAATGAACCATAGAGTGAGATTGTATCGTAACGATGAGTAGAGCTTTTAGAGAGATGTGATAAGATTGGACCAGATTGATAATAATATGACTTTTTCAAATCTTCTGGATTTTCAAATTCTTTCTCTTCAAAGTAAAATTCAACTCCATCTGAGAAAAATGAAATAACGCTAAAGAAAACTGTTAGATATTTTTGAGAATTTGGTTATTATTAAAACTAATTATAATACATACTTAAAATCTCCAGGATCAACAGCAGATATTTTGAAATTTGAAATACCAGTATTTTTATTTACTGATGTATCTTTAATGGTAAATGATACATCATGTTTATCAATGAAAATTTTCAAATTGTCATAAGCAGATGGATCATTGTCACGGAATAAGTATTTACCAAAAATTGTAATATCTGATTTAGGTTTAACAGGTGACTGTGAATATTGAATATCGGTAATAATTGGTTGTGGGAAATTGAATATAAATCCAGTATTAATATTTTCGACACCATTCGAATCATAGACAACTGGAGTATCTTGTTTGATAAATCCATCAATATAACATGTTAAATCTGTTGAATTAATTGGAACTACTCTGCAACTTTGGTCACCAACTTTGATATTGCCTATATTGTCAACATTATTTCCTTTAATATCTAATTGATATGGTTTTGCTGAAGTTTTTTGTTCAATCGATATGATGGCAGCTTCATAATAGGAACAAGACTCTAAAACTTTACCACTTTCGAAATCAAAAATACTGGAGTTAATCCAACTGCAAATCATGCCTCCAAAAAATATAACTGAAACCCCATTCGAGTCATCCGGTGAATTATAAGTAAAGAAATATGTACTAACTGTTGATCCATATTTAATTTCTTTTGAATATTCTTCCATTAAAATTAATTTTTTAATATCATTAATTAAATCCAATATTTTTGAGATGGTTATTTTAAAATTAGTTTGGTTGTGCAAACAATTTCTGTTAGTTTTTGGAATATAACTACTTTTTAAAATTAATGGACCAAAAACATTAATAGCTGATTGGAAATCTGATAAAAAGAATTTATTGAGAGGACTTGTCGACCAATCTGTAATATTACCAAGCCTAATAATCTTTCTAAACCTTCTAGAGATTCATAATGATTAAAATCGTCTTTACAAATTCCTGATTTTAAAAGAGTACTTTTAAAATCATAAAAATTACTAAGTAAGGTAATATACTAATTAAAAAAAATAGTTAATACTTAAACTAATATTGATATAACTAAAACTATTAAACTTACATCTTCTTTTTGTAAAGTATCAGAGCAATAATAAAAACTACATGAGCTAATACATGAACCAAATATGTTTGAATTAAAATTTTTAATTTCTTCATTATAAGCTTGTGTAACACTACAAATTTTATTGTTGTTTGTGATAATTGCTATACCTTGTGAGTTAACAAGTGTTTCATTATTGTAATATACCGTATAGCTATCAATTGTTGCATAATATTTTGCTGTCTCTTTTAAGAATAACAGATCGCTTGTTATTGTTTGTAAATAATTGAGAGTAATTGAAAATGGATCAATGCGACTATATATACAAAGGTTTGAATCAGAAATATTAATAAATTGGGAAAGAGTAGAAATAGTTTGGTTTGAACTTTCAAATAAAAGATTGTAGAATTGGCCAGTTTTCCAATCATCACTAATAACATTTTCTACCCAATAGTTTTTAAAGTATTGTTCAGTTTCTGCAATTGTTGATTCTAATGGTAAACTATATTGATTAGAACAAATTCTATTTTCATATAAAACTTGAACAAAATTTGAATTAGTTTCGATGATTGGTTTTGAATCACACGGAATAAAGCATTTATCGTAATGGTAATCGACTAATGAATCTGTTACTTGATTACCAACAGTAACTGTAATTGGTTGCACACTATTAGCATTTCCTTGTGGAGGTGGTTTGCAAGTTAAAATGGTTGAATCAATCCAAACGAGATTTAAACATTTTGTATTACCGATCATTACATAATTTTCTTGATTGTTGATAGTATATTGACTGTTTAATAATTGACTTGGAATAAAGTTTTTGCCATAAAGGGTGAGTGTACTTTGACCATTTGTGTCACCATAGTACAATTTTGATTTTAATGTTGGTGTATTATAATATTGAGTTAAAGAATTTGATTGTTGGTCATTGACGACTACTTTTATAATAAAACTGCCGATACCTGGTGGAATTGTAACCTCAACACGACGAGAATCGATCCATTTCCAAGATGATGCTTTTTCAGTTCCAATTAAAACATAGTAGTTATTTTTATAGTTAATACTGTCAAAATTTATTGTATTTGCAAGAGTGGATGGAACAAAGTTATCACCAACAATTGTAACAATACTTAAACCATCAGTTTCAACATGTGGTGGGTCAATTGATGTTAAAACGGGTGCAGATAATATATAAGAGAATGTAAAGAATGTACTAGATTCTCTTCCGGCAACTTTGACATAACCTTTAAGATTTGAACCATGGCCTTCCGGAACAGTAAATGCTATTGTTGTAGAGCTCATCCAATTAATTGTTATTATATTAATAACTTGTGAATCAGAACTTTTGAGAACAATAGAACATTCTTTCCAGTCAGAGCTTATATTACCAGATTCTTGTGTTGGTGGGAAATCTGAACCCGTAATAGTAATAACCTGACCAATCCTTGCACTTGATAAAGAAACAGAAGTAATTCCTGGAGTTGCATATTGATAGTTGTAAGAAACAGTTGAAATACCAAGTTGACGATAGTTGAAAAATCCAATACTCCCATTGGCAATGGCTCTCGATGGCATCACACAAATAAAGATGTCATATGAACTACTACCAAAATATTGTTTATTGCTATTATAAATAGTAGAGTCTACACATGATGAATAAGTTGAAGGAGAAGCAACTGAAGAGATTTTACTAGTTGAGCTACCACACATTGATTTAGTTTCGCAATAAATAATTTTATTTTGATTAACCGACTCGAATGGGAATATTTTTTTATCAACAGAGGCTTTAGTTAAAAAGTTATCTCTGACAACATAGAATCTATTTATATCTTTTGTTTTGAATTGGCTTGATAAAACAATTTTAATGTTTGGGTTTACATTTGTAAATGGAATTGGATAACCGATACTAAATGGACCATCACGAGTAAAAATAGTTATATCATAATAAACTCCACTTGGGACTACTACTTTTAATTGACTTGTGCTTCTTGAGACTATTTGTGTTGCTAATTGTTCTTTTTCGCCAAATTTGAAATAAACTTCTAGGTTGTTTATTTTTGAAAATGAAAAGTCGCCTGTCAATGTGATTGTATCACCGATGCCACCATAGTTTTGAGGTGAAATCTGAGAAATTGATGGATAAGGATGAGGTGTTGAAAGACATGCAAATTTAGTTTTAACTGATAATTGGTAAGTGCAATCAGGATTTTCACTCTTCTTGGTAACTGAATATTCAGTATTCTTGTCACAGGTAAATGTTATTATATTTTTTCTTTTGGCCAAACTTGAGCCACAAAATTGTCCATCATTGCTATTGTACTGAATCGAGCTAAGGCCATATGAATCAAAATTTCCAGACTGAGAAAATAAACCACCAGTTTGAAATGTGTCTGAGGGCAAAGAAAATATCTGACATGATTGATAGTCCAACCCTTTAATGGCTTTGGCACTATCTGTACACTTTTTATTTGTTCCTGCAATTGAGTAATGGAGCTAATGTATGATTTAAATTAATATTTATTTAATTTTATTTGTAATTTTAAAATAAAAAAAACCTACAGTATATGTTAAAGCTGAGTTTTTTATAATAGTCTCTTCCCTATCAATTCTGTATATTTTATCAATTGTATTAGTAGTGTATAAAAATAATAAAATATAACCTAATATTAATTACTCTTTTAATGGATTCATATTAACATATGTTCTTGATTCCTTATTATAGTAAATAGCAGGGTCACATCCAAATTTTGAAGAAATAGTAACATAATAAACACAAGTTTGGAGTTCTTCGGCCTTTATAATTAAAAATAGATTATTTGGATCACAAACAAACAAGAATAGAATTTCTCTAAAATATTTATATTTAAAAAAACGATTAGTGATTTATAAAAAATGATCATTTTTTATATATATAAGTACCTGTATTGATGTACTGAGGGGCATTCTGCTGCAAAACTTGAATAATATACAATACTTACTCTATTAACGGATTCATCTATGGAGGTATAACCCAAATTGAATTTAGATAACCCATAAATTTGACCATTAGGATAAATTTGACAAGCTTGGAATAAACCATTACCTAGAGAATCACATTTATCTACACCAATTCCAAAATTAAAATAAATTTTAAAACCAGAAGCATCTGCAACATATGCATCAGATGAAGGTCTATTTAATTATATTATTAGAAAATTATTAAAACTTTAAGGTTTTTTTAAAATAGAATATTAAACCAATACTTTACCTTGCTAAAGAACTAAAATCAAAATATCGATATTGCTCTATTAAAGACTCAGATGAAATACATGCATATCTTGAATAAAATGTAATTTCAAAATTACAATTATTTATAGTTGATGAATATCTTCTTTCAGTTGTTGGATCACAAACAAAACTAATTTGCATATTTGAATTTGAACAACCGATAGAAGCTGTGCTTTGAGTATCAATGGAGTGAACCATATCTAAACCTTTTTTAAAGTTTGTGACTACATTCAATATTGCCTGCTTTCCTAAAGAGACCATACTTGAAGATCCTGCTTGAGATGTTATACAAGATTGATAACCATTACATTTATCTAATTTATTGCCAATATTAAAGTAAATGTCTCTTCCACTTGCATCTTTAACTTTGTAAGGTTCTTTTGTATTTGTAGGTCTAAAAAATAAAAGAAAATTAATTTTAATAAATAATAAAGTAAGGATGTAAAAAACAATACATACAAAACCAATGGTGAAAGATTATAAAAAAGTCCATCTTTATAGATATAACCTGGTGCTCCACATACAAATTTAGATTTGATATATATATTGTATTGACAAGCAGGTTTCTCTTCAGCTTTGATAAATTCGTAATCTTTTGTACCACAAGAAAAATCCAAAACCATTGTTCTTAAACAATCATTTGATAATGTTGGGCCATAATGTTTAATTTTCATACCAGTTGATGAGAAAGTAGTTTCTGGAAATTTTTCTGTATCTCCAATATTATAGAGTTTACCACTATAGTCTTGACAGCCATTTGGATAATCTATACCCGGGGATTTACACCTTTCTACCCTTCCGCATATATTAAAATAAATCTTATAATCTTTATTTGTTGGATTATTGGCAGCTGGAACCGTAACTATATATGGATTACTTATAGCTCTAAAATTTTAAAATATTAGTATTATAAATAATAAGAATATAATAAAATATAATAATACTTACAATTTTAAAAGATTTAAATCAATATATCTATGGTTGGCAGAATCATAAAATATACAGTTAACCATATCATCTGGAATAAATTGTTTGTTTAAAACCTCTGGATCTAAATTATGATGGGCAACAATAGACTCAGTTACAAAAGCTCTAAGTTTAGGATTTGATGTAGCATTGAATGTCTGTTGAATCGATGAATCGATATTTAAATCATTACTTATAAATTCTTTTGAAAATGATTTAATATCATTAACATTATTATTCTTTAATGGTAAAATTATTTTTTTTAAACTTGAGGCAACTGAAGAATTGGGTTTTTCCTTTTCCTTTTTGAATAAACTAAATAAAGTTGAGGCTAATAAAAACTCTGGTTTGAATATGAAATTATCATCTCTTTGAAATGAAAAAGTAATAAAGATTTAAATAAAATATAATTTAGAATGAAAAAAAAAAATTTATAAAAAAAAATTTTAATAACGAAATATTTACCTAAATTTGGCTAAATTAATATATGATTTTGATTGATAATCATAAATACTATTTATTTTGTCTGATGATAAATTTGGGAAAGAAATCTATTCGAAATATTTTATTGTTAAAAAGTTAATAAAAAATAAAAAAATATTTTAAAAAAAGAAAATTTAAATTACCTTTTTAACTAGAATATTTAAAAATATTTTGAAACCTTTTAAAAAAGAAACAGATTCTAAATTAATATTTTTATTATGGGTTCTATAATTGATTTCTTTGAATATTTGAGATTTGAACTGGTCGTAAAGTGGGGAGTCAAACTTCTCGAGTACCATATAACTAATAACATTTGTAATTGAGTCATAAAGACATAAATTGTCCCTAAATTCTGAATATTGGATCAAAACTTCATCAAAACCATATATTGAAACATATTTTTCATAGCTGTTTACATATACATCGATTGGACCCAATGGCTTTATTTGGATTGATTGTAAAAAAGGATTAACTTCGCTTACTATTTGCTGAATGATTTTAAAAAAAAATAAATTAAAAAGAGTGAAATTTTTTTTTTTTAAAGAAAATTTTTTTTTGTTTATAATATTTTTTTTAAAAATTTTTAATAATATTATATTTTATTATTTATAAAATGGAAAACAAAATAATAATATTGTTTTTTTTATTAATTTCTATTACTTTTGTATTCACAGCAAATATAGGTAAGCTCTATATAAAAGATATCAACAATGGTTTTGATTTTAACTTAAACTCAAAAGAATGCAAAACAATAACAAGTGGAGAAACTAAAAAGAGTTATTTTGCAGATTTTTTTGAAGAAAATAAAATTAATATTGAAATTTATCAAAGTGAAAATTGTGAAGGTCCAATAGAAAAATCTTTTGAGATTACTTGTGATTCAAACGAAAAAAGTGAATATAAAAGTGAAACTTATCATTTAGAAGTTACATGTTTTATTTATCCAATGTGTCTTAACAAAAATAATATTCCAGTAACAAGTTGGTATATATTCCAAAATGCACAAGACTCGGGATCATTTGTGTGGGAAGAAGGAATGACTAGTTTAGTATCAGACGAAAACATTAGAATATTGGAAAATAATATACCAATTGGGTCAGCATTGCTATCAACTATAAAACAATTAAATAATGAAAAATTCTCACATGTAATTTATAATAATGATCATGAAAAATCAAATGAAGATCTTCATGGAGCTCATTCCAAAGGTATTTTTATATGGTAAATTATTTTTTTATAATAAAAATATTAATATGGAAAAATATTAATGAAAATTTTTTTTTATTTTCAGGAACGAACATGGTAAATATTTTATAAAATATAAAACATATTTATTTTATTAACATTTCTTTATAGGTGCTATTCATATAGTACATTCTTTGCCAAATTTTCCTCAATTAAATTTTAATGAAAATGATAGAAAAGTTGTATTCACAGATGACCCATTTTCAAGAAAAAAAACAAATGGGGTTGGTGATATGGATATAAAGGACCAACATGCACAAAATATATATTGTTATACAATGGATGATGGTTTTAAAACTGATATATATCATTTTTTATTTAGAATCAATGCTATTGTAATATCGATAAATGGTCTTTATTTAGGTTTTTCTATGGCAGGAATTGGGTCTATTTTTGAATATTCCACAATTGAAATTGGTTTACAATATTTACGTAATGAAAATATTAAAAAGGATTTTCAATCAAAAATTGATTTGGATTTTAATAAAGAAGATTATATAAATTTCAAAAAAAATAACAAAATGTACAATGATCAACTTTCTGAAAAGGATAGAAAGGATATATTAAGTGAACTCAGTACTAATACAAAATTTCCTTTGGTTTATTTAGCTTATAATGTAGGTCCAAATATTTTAATAAACTTTTCAAAACTCTAAACTAATTTTATTTTAAGTCATTTTTTTATATCCAGCTTTCACATTCAAAAAATATTCAATATCATTATTTTTTATATAAAAATGAGCGATATTATTTTTTTCAAAATGATTATTTACTTTATCAAGATTATAAATATCATGGTATGGCGGTTTATAGTTCTAGTGAATATAAAAAAATAAAACCTATTTTGGAAGAGTTAATTGGCCCTATTATTAAAAGACAATCAATTTGGGATTATGCAGTAGAACAATTAAAGACCTCAAATGAAGAATTTTATTTACAAACACAACACTATGATGATAAATTAAAAGGACTTATCCCAGTTAATGAAAACCCCCCATTTAAAATCATTCAAAGTTTAAATTTTGAGAAAAGAAATTTAAATAGAAATTTTGACCACTCAAAGCAAATGATTTCAAAAAATATTTTTTGTGTTGGTGATTTAAACTATATAGATAAACAGGTATGTATTTTTAAAGAAAATAAATATTAAAATAGCTTTCTAACCAATTATTTAATATAGAATAAGAGAGGTGGTTCAATTATATGTTTTGAAAATAAAATACTATCTCAATTTTTCGAAAGTTATGTATATATTACCCAAATAAAAAATGAAAAAGATATAATATATTCTCATGTAAAAAAAACTTTATCTCTCTTAAATGCAGAAGAATTTATTAAAAAATTTAAATTCTATAGAGATTCAGATAATGGACTCATACCGGTAAATGTAGATATTGATGTTCATAATATTTTTTTAAAGGAAACTATAAATGGAATTTCAAATTATAAAGGCTTATTGGAATCTGAAGTTTTAGGCAACTCAAATTTTATAAAAAATAGATTAATTACAAACTTTAAAACTAAAATATGCTTATATCCAAAATTTAATTCAAAAAATACTGGAATCAATTTTAATATAAATGAAATATTTTGTTCTGGTGATAATTATTTTTTTTTGAATGAACATTTAAATTGGAATTTCTTTAGTCCTTACTACAATAATCCATTTAATCCTATAAAAATTACTCTTGACACTCCTTTTATAAATAATCTTTTAATTCATAAATGTTTACCTAATAATGATAACCCAATAAAACTGTATAAAATGAACCTATCCATTAGAGATATAAGTTGCAATTTTAATAATAATGTATGTAAAAAAAAAAAAAATTTCTATAATAAAATACTAATTATTCTTAAAATTAGTTAGTTCTCTATCAACATAATGATAGAATTTGTTTAGATTTATTAAAAATGTGTGTCTTTAAAATATATGGACATACCTCACAAGAAATAGTAAGTATTTCAATTTATTTATTTTTAATCTATACTTTATATTAATTTTTTTTAAGAACATAGAAAACTATAAGTGTAACAAATATCTGGAACCATTTGGTATAGATTTCCAAGATCAAATAAATAAAAATGATGGAGATGATAATAGAGAACCTAAAAAAATTAAATTAATACCTTCATTTCCAATAAAGCCCAAAAATAATTAATTTTAATAAACTATAAAAATCCAAATTTTTTAATATCAAAATCCAAAATTTCATTTTTTTCTTATGTTTTATATTTTATTAGAGTTCTAAAATTATCGTTATCTCCATTTTTACCGATTATCGTTATCGTGTTCATTATCCATTTTATCTCTTTTTTATCTTTTTTTTAAAAAAAATTATTCATTTTTATCCACTTTTAAAATTTGCCACAGATTCAAAATAACAGTTCAAATTTACGCAAATCATAATTTGTTTCTTTTTCGCCCTTTTTTTTTTATATTTTAACCCTTAAAATTTTAGAGAAAGGGATGCTTCCTTTTTTTTTTTTTTTAATTTTTTTAAAAAAAAAATTTTGAAAAAAAGTGGTTTTTTTTTATTTTTTTAAAAAAAATTTTAGATTATTTTTTCATTTTTTTTTATTTAAATAATAATATATTTATATTATTTCTCTTCGGATCATTGTGTCAATATATTTGAACAAATAGCAACAGTAATGTTTTAACAATACTCCTGAATCAATTTTATCAAAAAAAGAATTAGAGCGTCAAATGGAATCTAAATTTAATGATGGTAAAGGTGGTTTTATTACAAAATTTTTGAAAACTCCAAGAGTAATACAATTTTTGCCATAATTATGTAGACTCAACAAAAATGGTTATCGATCCACAACGAAATGACCAAAGATCAAGAACATACCCAAGAGTGGAAAATTCAAGAAAAAATTATGCATATCATCCCCTTAATTTATTAGTTTATTTAAAAAGCTATAACGAAAGTAAGGTTATTATTATTGAAGCATTAAAAAGAAATAAAAACGAATTTGAAAGAGATCAATATGAACAATTGGTAAAATTATTAGTTTTTCATGTAATGTTTAGAATGAATGAAATTCAAGAATCAATCGAGTTTTTACAAAATGATCAAAATTTAGTAGATTGGAAAAGAGAAGGCTTCATTAAAGCATTGTATGAAATGGTACAAATTAGAGAGATCGAAGAAAGGAATCAAAGAGAACAGTTATTAAAAAAAGAAAAAGAACAAAAAGATAAGCAAAAAAAGGAAGAGGAAGAAAAGCTTAAACAACTACAACTACAACAGCAACAACAACAACAACAACCTCAACAAAATATTAATAATGCCACCACTAATAATAATACAAAGTTAAAGGTACTTAGTCTTTAACTCTATTGGTTTATTGTTGCCCTAAGAGTGGAAAGGTATTGTACATTGGTTTTCCTTCAGGTGGTTGTAAAAATGATATTAACTTATTTAAAAAAGAACATAAATTTATTGATTCATTAAAAAGTGCATTTGATACAATTGTTGCTGATAAAGGATTTCGTGGATTAAAACCATTTTATAATGTGTTATTGAAGCAGGTCGTAAAAATACAAAATATAACAAACAACAAAAAAAAATTCAAAAATCAATCAGGATTATTATCGAAAATGTATTTGCTAGAATTAAAAGATTTTCAATTACAAGCAATACTTTCTATTAAGAATGTCATTTAATAATAATAACTTCAGAGGACAATCTAGAGGCAATAGAGGAAACTTTAATAGAGATTCGGAAGATATAAATTTAAACAAAGAACTTTTCATATTGAACATGTATGGTATGGTGTACAGTTGCATTTTTAATTAATTGTTATTCAGATATTAGAAATAATAACATTGAGGACAATGAATTATTAATTTAATGGTTAAAAAAATAAAATAAATGCATACAAAATAAAAATTTAAAAAACCCAAAAACAAAAAAATAATAATGCTTTTTAAAAAAAAAAAAAAAAAAAAAAAAAAAAAATTTTTCAGTTTTTTTAGTTTTTTTTGTTTTGGTTTTACAGGGGTGTTTGGATGCATTTTTATAAAAAATAGAAAGAAATGAAAATTTTTTTTTTTTTTATGTGTTTTTATATATAATATTCCATTTCTTAATTTTTTTTTGTCGAGACACCCCTTGTGGTTTTATTGTTTTTTTTTTTTTTTTTTTTGAATTTTGAAGGAATTAATTTTTAATAAAATAAAAATTTTTTTTTTTAAAATTTACAAACTTTTCATTTTTACACCAAATTTAATTAAAAATTTATTTATCTCACATTCACCACCCCACAAAAACTTTTTTCTTTTAAAAAAAATTTTTTTTTCTTTTATCAACAATCATTTTTTTATAAATTATAATTTATTTATCACCCACACAAAAACTTTTTTCTTTTAAAAAGTTTTTTTTTTAAATTTTTTACCTCAATTTTTATTTTTATTTCTATATTTTCAAATGGATACAAATAATTTAAAAAGAGTAAATGAAGGTCAAATAGTAGAAAAGGATGACATCAAAAAAGTTAAAACCCAACAACCACAAGATTTATTTTTAAAGGTTTGGAGAAACAAGTTCCTCAATTCTAAAATTATTCAAACCACAAGGTTATTAAAAGATTTTTCAAATTGTTATTTAAGAATTAAAGAAATTGCAGACCACCCTTATAAAGAATATATTACAAAAATATGCTATAACATCAATGAACCATTATCACTACATCAAATTCCTTCAAGTTGCACTGAGTTATATTTTGAACAAAATTTTAATCAAGATATTAGTCATTTAAAGTCACTGGGTTTTTTAAAATACCTAATAATCAGAAATAAAAACTATGATAAACCAATTGTACAAGGAGCCTTACCAGAATCACTTACCACGTTTCGATTTTATGGGTCTAAAATATCATTATCTGAAATATATTTACCAAAATCACTTCGAACATTAAATTTATTTTCCTATGATAAACCACTCGATGAAGGTGATATACCAAACCATATACAACAATTAGAATTCTTCAGTTTTAATCAACCTTTAACAGAAAAATCACTTCCATCTTCATTATTATTACTCGACCTTGGACTGGGTTTCAACCAACCACTATCAACACCATTACCAAATGGTCTTTTAGACTTGAAATTAGATTATAATTTTAACCAGCCCATCTCAAAAGGTATTTTACCATCAACATTAGTAAAAATTAAATTTGGTACTTCATTTAACCAAGAATTATTACCAGGTGTAATTCCATCAAGTGTTACCTATTTGAAGTTTAGAAATAGTCAATTTAATAAACCTTTATCTGTTGGTTCAATTCCCAATTCAGTAAAATATCTTTATCTTGGTGATAGCTACAACCATCCTTTAACTAAAAATATAATACCAGATTCAGTGAAAACGTTAAGATTAAGCAAACAATTTAATCATATTCTATCAGAAAACTCTATTCCTTCAAGTTGCACAGAATTGATATTCCAAAACGATTTTTACAAACCAATTGGTGTTTTACCAAATACTATAAAATACTTAGAATTTAAAGGAGATTTTAAACAAAGAATACTTCCAAGATCAATCCCAAACTCAGTCACTACTTTGATATTTGCTAAAGCATTTAACCATCCTCTAAGAAAAAATACAATACCAAAATCAGTAAAAAAGTTATCAATAGGTTTTAAAAAACAGCCATTAGTTCCAGGCTTAATACCAGACTCAGTCACAGACTTAACTCTATCATATTATTCGACAAAACCACCAAAACCATTGGGTATTCCATCCTCTGTTACAACTCTAAATCTTCCTACTGGATTTGGTAACAATCCTTTAAAATCATACCAAATACCAAAGTCTGTTACCAATTTAAATTTAGACCGTTATTTGTTCCCACTCGAACTGGATTCACTTCCATCATCAATTAAAACCTTAACCTTATCTTTATATTTTACAGGCACAATTAAACCTCAATCAATTCCAGAATCGGTTAAAGTATTAGATTTGTATTGGTTTGAAGACCCATTAGTAGAATCGATTTTCCCATCATCAATTGAACATTTGACATTATATCAGCGTTTCAACCTGCCACTACTTAAAGGTTCTATACCAGATAAATGCAAAGTTTTAGACCTATCCAAAGGGGCATTTAACCATCCAATAGAAGCCGGTGTATTACCTAATTCTCTCACATCATTATCATTTGGAGAATGTTTCTACCAAACAACCTTAACAAAATCCTCAATTCCATCATCAGTTATTCATTTAACATTTGGAAATGAAAAAATGAGGAAATTTTACGAATCATCAGATTAAAATTAAATTAAACAACCTGGAAGATTTTATTTAAATTATTTTTTCTAAAAAAGATATTTATATTTTAATTCAAGGTTATACTAATAAGGTAATTTTATTTGATATAAATCCATTGATAACCCTTTGAATTAAAATAAAAAAATAAATATTATAAGTTTACAATATTTATCTCTTTTTTTTAATTTTAAAAAAAAAAAATTTATTTTTTAATTTTTTAATTTTTTTATTTTAAAAAATGATTTGACTTAATATCTTGAATATTTTCCATAAGCTTTAATAATCGCCTCCATTCTATGTGGAAAAGATAAAAATCTCTACCTTTACTAACACTTGTTTTAGTATTTAAATCTAAACATTAGAGTCATAGGTCCAAAATCTTTTATCATGGTAGTTATCAAATCATTAAAATCTGTTTTTATCCATTTACATATGATTTTCCCTTTGTTCTATAGTTCAGTTTATATCTTTTCAAATCATATCTTTTTCTTCTTGTAACTTTGTTTAATGGAGGTTTCATGAATTTCTTTTTAAAAACAATATTATTTATGTGCAATACGTTTTTAATTGATCAGTTAGGTATGGTGTAGCCAGTTGTTGATTCGTACCAAACTATTACTTTTTTTAAATTCTTCAGCTCCACCATTCAAAAATTTGAACATATTAGACGTTTATGAATGTTTATTTTCATTTCCGAAACTTTGATGGTAATTGATTTAACCTGTTTGTTCATATCTTTGAATTGTTTTTGCAAACGTTGGTACACTTTTTTTTATTATCATTATTAATTATTTTGGGCTGTGTCAATATTAATTAAAAAAAACCATTCAAACAAATCAATATTAGGGAAATGGAAAATAATTTAAAAGTATAGATTAATGTGGACCGAGGACCTATCGGTTGTGGATGTGTGCGAAAAACATAACCAAACTATGTTTATAATCTATTATATTTTCAATGAACCTCTTTGTAAACCATCGTCATTACCTTCAGCCTATGGTAATTTTTTCAATCATTGCGGTATTCTTATTGATCTATACCTAGAAAAAAATATCTCTAAATTAACTAATAAAAAAACAATAGTTTTTTTATTTACCAAAATTTTCAAAAAAAAAAAAAATAAATAAAATAATTAAATTAAAATAATTTTATTTTTTTTTAAATTTTTTTTTTTTATTTTTTTTAAAAAATTTCATGCATAGTTTTTATTTAACATTACCATATCTTTTTTTATTAATTTTCCACACACCCCCTTTTTTTATTATATAAAAATTATTTTTTATTATTTTTATATTTCAATCAAAAAAATGCACCAATAATTAAAAATAATTTTTTTAAAATTTATTTATCACCCCCAATAAAAACTTTTTTTTTTTTTAAAATTTATTAATCACATATTCACCACCCCACCCAAAAACTTTTTTCTTTTAAAAAAAAAACATTTTTTTTTTAAATTTTTTGCCCCAATTTTTTATTTTTATTTCTATATTTTCAAATGGATACAAATAATTTAAAAAGAGTAAATGAAGGTCAAATAGTAGAAAAGGATGACATCAAAAAAGTTAAAACCCAACAACCACAAGATTTATTTTTAAAGGTGTGGAGAAACAAGTTCCTCAATTCTAAAATTATTCAAACCACAAGGTTATTAAAAGATTTTTCAAATTGTTGTGTTAAAATTACTGAAATTAATGACCACCCTTATAAAGAATATATTACAAAAATACTCTATAACATCGATGAACCATTATCACTACATCAAATTCCTTCAAGTTGCACTGATTTAAGATTTGATGCAAATTTTAATCAAGATATTAGTCATTTAAAGTCATTGGGTTTTTTAAAATACCTAACAATCGGAAATGAAAACTATGATAAACCAATTGTACAAGGAGCCTTACCAGAATCACTTATCTCGTTTCTATTTTATGGGTCTAAAATATCATTATCTGAAATATATTTTCCAAAATCAGTTAAAAGATCATTATTATTTTCCTATTATAAACCACTCAACGAAGGTGATATACCAGACCATATACAACAATTACAACTCTCCAAATTTAATCAACCTTTAACAGAAAAATCACTTCCATCTTCATTATTATTACTCGACCTTGGTTTTATCTTCAACCAACCACTTTCAACACCATTACCAAATGGTCTTTTAGGCTTGACATTAGGTTATAATTTTAACCAGCCCATCTCAAATGGTATTTTACCATCAACATTAGTACAAATTGAAATTGGTACTTCATTTAACCAAGAATTATTACCAGGTGTAATTCCATCAAGTGTTGCCTATTTAAAGTTTAGATATAGTCAATTTAATAAACCTTTATCTGTTGGTTCAATTCCCAATTCAATAAAATATCTTTATCTTGGTGATAGCTACAACCATCCTTTAACTAAAAATATAATACCAGATTCAGTGGAAACGTTAAGATTAAGCAAACAATTTAATCATATTCTATCAGAAAACTCTATTCCTTCAAGTTGCACAGAATTGATATTCCAAAACGATTTTTACAAACCAATTGGTGTTTTACCAAATACTATAAAATACTTAAAATTTAAAGGAGATTTTAAACAAAGAATACTTCCAAGATCAATCCCAAACTCAGTCACTACTTTGATATTTGCTAAAGCATTTAACCATCCTCTAAGAAAAAATACAATACCAAAATCAGTAAAAAAGCTATCAATAGGTTTTAAAAAACAGCCATTAGTTCCAGGCTTAATACCAGACTCAGTCACAGACTTAACTCTATCATATTGTTCGAGAAAACCACCAAAACCATTGGGTATTCCATCCTCTGTTACAACTCTAAATCTTCCTACTGGATTTGGTAAAAATATTTTAAAATCATACCAAATACCACAGTCTGTAACTAATTTACATTTGGGTAGTCATTGGTTCCCACTCGAATTGGATTCACTTCCATCATCAATTAAAATATTATCCTTCTTTGGTGATTTTGAAATCACAATTAAACCTCAATCAATTCCAGAATCGGTTAAAGTATTAGATTTGAGTGGGGTAAAAGGTCGATTAGTAGAATCAAAATTCCCATCATCAATTGAACATTTGACATTTGGTAAGTATTTCAACCAGCCACTACTTAAAGGTTCTATACCAGATAAATGCAAAGTTTTAGACCTATCCAAAGTGATATTTAACCATCCAATAGAAGCCGATGCATTACCTAATTCTCTCACATCATTATCATTTGGCAAATATTTCTACCAAACAACCTTAACAAAATCCTCAATTCCATCATCAGTTATTCATTTAACATTTGGAAATGAAAAAATGAGGAAATTTTACGAATCATCAGATTAAATTTAAATTAAACAACCCGAAAGATTTTATTCAAATACTTTTTTCTAAAAAAGGAAAAGAAGGTAATAATAGATAGTAAAAAGTTATTATTATTTTTATTTATTTAAAGAAAAAATGAGTAAAACATTTTTTTTAGTCTAACTTTACTATAACCAAAGTATTTCAAAATATCGTTCTCTAATGAAAAGAGCTTGGTATCAATTGATCTATACCCAGAAAATAATATCTCGAAATAAAATGGTTTTTTTATTCACCAAAATTTTCTATAAAAAAAAAAAATAAAATAAAACAATTTATTTTTTTTAATATTTTTAATAAATTTTTTTAAAAAAAAAAAAAAATTACACATCAAGCCACGCATAGTTTTATATTTTATTAGTATTATTAATTTTCCTTTTTTTTTTCAACATAAAAATTATTTATTATTATTTTTATATTTCAATCAAAAAAAAAATGCACCAACAATCATTTTTTTATAAATAATAATTTATTTATCACCCACACAAAAACTTTTTTCTTTTAAAAAAAAACATTTTTTTTTTAAATTTTTTACCCCAATTTTTTATTTTAATTTCTATATTTTCAAATGGATACAAATAATTTAAAAAGAGTAAATGAAGGTCAAATAGTAGAAAAGGATGACATCAAAAAAGTTAAAACCCAACAACCACAAGATTTATTTTTAAAGGTGTGGAGAAACAAGTTCCTCAATTCTAAAATTATTCAAACCACAAGATTATTAAAAGATTTTTCAAATTGTTATGTTAAAATTACTGAAATTAATGACCACCCTTATAAAGAATATATTACAAAAATACACTATAACATCGATGAACCATTATCACTACATCAAATTCCTTCAAGTTGCACTGAGTTAAGATTCGATGCAAATTTTAATCAAGATATTAGTCATTTAAAGTCATTGGGTTTTTTAAAATACCTAACAATCAAAAATATAAATTATGATAAACCAATTGTACAAGGAGCCTTACCAGAATCACTTACCATGTTTCAATTTGATGGGTCTAAAATATCATTATCTGAAATATTTTTACCAAAATCAGTTAGAACATTAATATTATATTTCTATAATAAACCACTCAATGAGGGTGATATACCAAACCATATACAACAATTAGAACTCTCCAATTTTAATCAACCTTTAACAGAAAAATTACTTCCATCTTCATTATTATTACTCGACCTTGGTTTTATCTTCAACCAACCACTTTCAACACCATTACCAAATGGTCTTTTAGGCTTGACATTAGGTTATAATTTCAACCAGCCCATCTCAAAAGGTATTTTACCATCAACATTAGTACAAATTCAAATTAGTACTTCATTTAACCAAGAACTATTGCCGGGTGTAATTCCATCAAGTGTTACCTATTTGAAGCTTAGAAATAGTCAATTTAATAAACCTTTATCCGTTGGTTCAATTCCCAACTCAGTAAAATATCTTTATCTTGGAAATGGCTACAATCATCCTTTAACTAAAAATATAATACCAGATTCAGTGAAAACGTTAAGATTAAGCAAACAATTTAATCATATTCTATCAGAAAACTCTATTCCTACAAGTTGCACAGAATTGATATTCCAAAACGATTTTTACAAACCAATTGGTGTTTTACCAAATACTATAAAATACTTAAAATTTAAAGGAGATTTTAAACAAAGAATACTTCCAAGATCAATCCCAAACTCAGTCACTACTTTGATATTTGCTAAAGCATTTAACCATCCTCTAAGAAAAAATACAATACCAAAATCAGTAAAAAAGCTATCAATAGGTTTTAAAAAACAGTCTTTAGCTCCAGGCTTAATACCAGACTCAGTCACAGACCTAACTCTATCATATTGTTCGAGAAAACCACCAAAACCATTGGGTATTCCATCCTCTGTTACAACTCTAAATCTTCCTAATGTATTTGGTAAAAATATTTTAAAATCATACCAAATACCAAAGTCTGTAACCAATTTACATTTGGGTGTTTATCGGCTCCCGCTCGAATTGGATTCAATTCCATCATCCATTAAAAACTTAACCTTCTATGATTATTTTATGAGCACAATTAAACCTCAATCAATTCCAGAATCGGTTAAAGTATTAGATTTGGGTGGATTTAGAGACCCATTAGTAGAATCGATTTTCCCATCATCAATTGAACATTTGACATTTGGTAAGTATTTCAACCTGCCACTACTTAAAGGTTCTATACCAGATAAATGCAAAGTTTTAGACCTATCCAAAGGGGTATTTGACCATCCAATAGAAGCCGGTGTATTACCCAATTCTCTCACATCATTATCATTTGGTAAATATTTCTACCAAACAACCTTAACAAAATCCTCAATTCCATCATCAGTTATTCATTTAACATTTAGAAATGAAAAAATGAGGAAATTTTACGAATCGTTAGATTAAAATAATGTCAAGTTTTTTTAAAAATTTGAGAATCAAAGGAAAAAAAAAAATTTCCCAAAAAAAATTAAAACCTTTTTTACCCCCCTAAAAAAACCGGGGGTTAAAAAACAAACCCCCCCCCCGGGGGTTTTTTTTTTTTTTTTTTTTTTTTTTTTTTTTTTTTTTTTTTTTTTTTTTTTTTTTTTTTAAAAAGTGAAGATAATTAAAAGCAAATGCTTTAAATTAATCAGTAAAAGGCTATCATTGCTCCCCCAAATGCTTTAAATTATTCAGTAAATAGCCATTGTAATGTATTCATATGCATTTTAGAATTAAATGAATATTACAGTTATAATTATATCTCAACTAAATAATATATTTATATTTTCCTTTATTTTAAATAATTTATTATTTAAAATTAAAAATTAAAAATGGAGCTACTTTAGTTATAGATAAATAATAAATATAAATAATTCTAATAATCAAATAAATATACAATTATTTGTTTGTGAAAAACTAAAACCGAAAACTGAAAACTAAAAAATAAAATTTTATTTTTTAAATTTTTCAATTTTTTTATTTTTATTTTATTTTTAATTTTTAATTTTAAATAATAAATTATTTAAAATAAAGGAAAATATAAATTTTTTTTTTTTTTTTTTTAAAAAATCTTACTTAATAATATAATTTATATTATTAGTGTAAGAGACGGTATTTTATTAGATAAAATTTATTAAATGGTATGTGTGAGGATTTGTATTGTTATAGGTATTTGATTGGGAAATTGATCAAAGTGGTTTCTGGTAATTTATAAAAGGTTGATATTTTAGATCTAATGGTTTGGATATGGTTTGAATTTATTTGCTTATCTACTTTTAGGAAGCTGTTGTAGTTTGATTGGATCGTTCTTGCATATTCTAGTGAGGCGAGTTTGGTCCATTTGTGTTGGATGTCATTATAGTTTAATGATTTAGCAATTGCATTTGGGTTAATCTCTTTGTTAAATAGTTTGCAAAGAGATTAACCAGACTTGGTGGAAGATAATTGAAATGTTATTTCTGTAGGTCGGTGTTCTATCAAGATCGAAATCGAGATCTCTATAGCACCATCGGAATGGTTCATCTCTCAACTGTAATATTCATTTAATTCTAAAATGCATATGAATACATTACACATCTTTGGGAATAAGATTATCACCAGGAAGATTTTTGTTAAATTAAACTAAAATAGTTACTCGATAGTTGCAGGGTTCGAACCTGCGCCCCCGAAGGGAATGCCTTAGCAGGGCACCGCATTAACCACTTTGCTAAACTACCTTGGAGTTATAGTTGAGTAATAACACTCATGATTTGTCACAAGAATCCTATAAAGTGTATTTTATGAGTACTCAAAATAATATGTAAATTTTTAATACTATATACTAAATTAAGTGCACTATACACAACTGAGGCGTGAGGTGACCAACTTAGCAAAAGGGAAATTTCTTAATTTATATTATTAATTTGAACACCTACTTTATATGTTCAAAACTTATTGGTTATATACTACATTTGAACCCATGTTTTTGAAATCTTTTCCAAATTGTCATTCACAATAATTTAAAAATAAAAGAATCAAATAATAATACTTTTTATCACTTATGTGTTAAAAAATAACAAAAAAAATTAAAAAAAAAAAAAGTTGATTTTATCGATTTTTACACTAACTGGTGGTAATCCACCAAAATAGTAAAATTTGTAATTTTAAAATAATTATAAACCTCTATTTAGGTAGATTTCAAAAATATTTGATAAATCCTAAAAAAAAAGTAATTTATTTTGAAACATGTAAATTTTAATTATTTATTTCTTTATTTAAAATAAAAAAAATATAATATTATATAAAAAAAATAAAATAAAATTATAAAAAAAAAAAAAAAAATTTTTATTATTTAAAATAAATATAGTTTTCGTGATTATATACAATTAACAAACTATCTTTTAAATTAGTTTAATGCATTTTCACATAATCTCTAACTTTTATTTTAATCATCGACTAGAGATTCTAATTTTTTTTACATAAAAAAATATTTGAATAAAATTATTTTAATCTGATGATTCGTAAAATTTCCTCATTTTTTCATTTCTAAATGTTAAATGAATAACTGATGATGGAATTGAGGATTTTGTTAAGGTTGTTTGGTAGAAATATTTACCAAATGATAATGATGTGAGAGAATTGGGTAATACACCGGCTTCTATTGGATGGTTAAATACCCCTTTGGATAGGTCTAAAACTTTGCATTTATCTGGTATAGAACCTTTAAGTAGTGGCTGGTTGAAATACTCACCAAATGTCAAATGTTCAATTGATGATGGGAAAATCGATTCTACTAATGGGCCTCTAAATCCACCCAAATCCAATACTTTAACCGATTCTGGAATTGATTGAGGTTTAATTGTGCTGTTAAAATTTTCTGAGAGGGATAAGGTTTTAATTGATGATGGAAGTGAATCCCATTCGATCTGGAACCAATGACTGCCTAAATGTAAATTAGTTACAGACTTTGGTATTTGGTATGATTTTAAAATACTTTTACCAAATACATTAGGAAGATTTAGAGTTGTAACAGAGGATGGAATACCCAATGGTTCTGGTGGTTTTGTCGAACAATATGATAGAGTTAAGTCTGTGACTGAGTCTGGTATTAAGCCTGGAGCTAAAGACTGTTTTTTAAAACCTATTGATAACTTTTTTACTGATTTTGGTATTGTATTTTTTCTTAGAGGATGGTTAAATGCTTTAACAAATATCAAAGTAGTGACTGAGTTTGGGATTGATCTTGGAAGTATTCTTTGTTTAAAATCTCCTTTAAATTTTAAGTATTTTATAGTATTTGGTAAAACACCAATTGGTTTGTAAAAATCGTTTTGGAATATCAATTCTGTGCAACTTGAAGGAATAAAGTTTTCTGATAGAATATGATTAAATTGTTTGCTTAATCTTAACGTTTTCACTGAATCTGGTATTATATTTTTAGTTAAAGGATGGTTGTAGCTATCACCAAGAAAAAGGTATTTTACTGAATTGGGAATTGAACCAACGGATAAAGGTTTATTAAACTGACTTTTTTTAAAATTCAAATAGGTAACACTTGATGGAATTACACCTGGTAATAATTCTTGGTAAAAGGAAGTACCAATTTCAATTTTTACTATTGTTGATGGTAAAATACCTTTTGAGATGGGCTGGTTAAAATTATAACCTAATGTCAACTCTAAAAGACCATTTGGTAATGGTGTTGATAGTGGTTGGTTAAAGAAAGCGCCAAGGTCGAGTAATAATAATGAAGATGGAAGTGATTTTTCTGTTAAAGTTTGATTAAAATGGAGGAAATCTAATTGTTGTATATGGTCTGGTATATCACCTTCATCGAGTGGTTTATTATAGTGATTCACTGATAATCTTTTAAGTGATTTTGGTAAAAATATTTCAGATAATGATATTTTAGACCCATCAAATTGAAACATGGTAAGTGATTCTGGTAAGGCTCCTTGTACAATTGGTTTATCATAATTTATATTTTTGATTGTTAGGTATTTTAAAAAACCCAATGACTTTAAATGACTAATATCTTGATTAAAATTTGCATCGAAATATAACTCAGTGCAACTTGAAGGAATTTGATGTAGTGATAATGGTTCATCGATGTTATAGTGTATTTTTGTAATGTATTCTTTATAAGGGTGGTCATCAATTTCAGTAATTTTAACACAACAATTTGAAAAATCTTTTAATAATCTTGTGGTTTGAATAATTTTAGAATTGAGGAACTTGTTTCTCCACACCTTTAAAAATAAATCTTGTGGTTGTTGGGTTTTAACTTTTTCGATATCATTTATGCTTTTTAAATTATTTGTATCCATTTGAAAATATAGAAATAAATATAAAAAATTTAGAAAAAAAATAAAAAATTATTTGAAAAAAATAAGAAAAAAGTTTTTATATGGGGATGATGAATGTAATAATCAAATTTTAAAAAAAAAATTGTTTAAAAAAAAAATTTGGTTATTTTTTTTTTGGTTGAAGCATAAAAATAATATTACTTTTGGTATAAATAATTTTATATTGAAAAAAAAAAAGAAAATTAATTAAAGATTATAAGATTTGGCTATGACATTAATAAAATAAAAATAAATAAAAAACATATTCATGAAATAAATATATTTTTTTTTTGTGGTGCTATTTTTGTTTGTTTTTATTTTTATTTTTATTATTTTTATTATTTTTAAATTATTAATTATTTTTAATATTAATTAATTCTTTATCAATAATTTTATAAAAAAACAAGGTACTATGATAACCGGTGGTATCAAAAGCAAAATAAGGTATATTACCCACTTCTAAGTAACCCATTTTACGATATAGATTGGTTGAAATTTGATCTGTGGATTTGGTATCTAAAATTAATAATTTAAATTTTTGTAACAATGCAAGTTCTTCAATTCTTTTTAATAGTTGTTTAGCAATACCACGACCACGATAATTTGGGTCCACAAGTAGTTTTTGAACCTCACCTCTGTGTGAAGCATTAGTCATTATTTTTAACCAAGATAGTGAAACAGTACCAACTACTATATTGTCCATAATTGCAACGAGTAATATTTTACATTCATCTTTTAACTCACCTTCTACAGAATCCCAATAGTTGGTTGCAGTATCCTTGTCTAATGGATGGACGAAACCTACCGATGCCTCTCCAGCAACAGCATGGATAAGTATATTTACTAAACTTTCCTTAATGGTAATGCCATTATGTGTGTTATTTAAAGATTTAACTAATTTAATTTCCATTTTGGCATAAAAAATTTATATGAAAATAAAATAAAAAAAAATAAAAAAAAATAAATAAAAAAAAAATAAAAAATTTTAAAAAAAGTTGGAGAAATTGTTGGGAATAAGTTGGGAGTGATCGATAATTTTCGATGGGGAAATAAAACAAGAATGGTTTGAATTTTTTTTGGGTTTTGACTAAATAAATATTTAGATTTTGGTTACAAAAAAAAATTTATTTAAATTATATTTTAAAAAAAAAAAAAAAAAAAAAAAAAAAAAAAAAAAAGGTTTTAAAATTATTTACAGAAACTGAATTATAGTATTTGATGATTATTTTTGTAAAATTATTTATATATTATATATATATTGCAAAAATTAAAATTTAGTTTAACGGTTTACTTCCAAGTTGAGGGACATCATCGTTTGGATTAAAGTTTTCAATGTGAGTATTGGTAACCTTTGTAATTCTCTTCTTTCTTTCTTTCTTCTTTTCTCTAGAGATAACTTTAATAGTTTCAGCAGACTCTACAACAGATAGACCTGCATCTTTCATTTCTTTCTCTAAATCTGCTTCAGTTGGCACCTTAATTGATTTCCACATGTCGATTAATTCTTGCGAAACTGGTACTCTATACTTTTCATCATTTGGGAATAACATATCTATGTGAGTGTTGTCGCTCGATTTAATTGCATAGACCTGTTTGGTTTCTTTTAACTTTTTAACATCTGCTTCTGCTTGGTTATATGACTCTGCTATATCTGATGCCAAAATGCCTCCTGGATGTTTATTTACAAGCTCTAAAATCTCTTTAATATTTTTTACATTAAATAATGGTTTATATGAAAATTTATCGTCGCCATGGTCTATAACCTTGGGATTATTTCTTAACAATTCTAAAATATCTGGCCTATCCTCAATTGAATGGTTGGTATTATTCATAATCTCTTTAGTGTCTGCTGGCATACCCTCTAATGTTTTCAAATAGCTTAAAATATCGAAAATAACTCTGGTGCTTTGCTTTTCTTTTTGTGGTTTTAAAGAATGTGATGTATAAATTGATGATTTTGCTGAATAATTTGAAGCGGTTGAAGAAGAGGATGTTTTAGGTTGATATCTAAATGCATTTGATGTCGAGGATGAAGATGAGGATGTTGAACTTTGAGTTTTTTTAATACTCGACATTGTATCGATTGCCTTCATTTGAGAGGCTTTAAATCCATCCATATTCATCTTTAAAAGTATATATATATAAAAATTATTAATAATAAATTATTAATAATATAAGGGAAAAAAAGATAAAAAGATAAAAAAATAAAAAAAAACTATTTCTAAATATAATAATTAAATTAAAAAAAAAAAAAATTTTAAAATGAAAAAAAAATAAAAAAATAAAAAAAATTAAAAATTAAAAATAAAAAAAAAATAAAAATAAAATAATTAAAAAAAAAAGAAAACAATTAAATAAATATTTGTTTTTTATTTTTTAGTGTTAATAAAAAATAATTTTATTTTATTTATATATCATTTATTCCCATTTTAAGCTTGCTCTTTACTAATTAAACTCTTGTCAATAATTTTATAAAAAAATGTAGTGGATGTATATATACCATTTTCTAAAGAATAGAATGGAATATCACCCACACTGACATAACCCATTTTTTTATACATTTCTGGTACACTAAGATCGGATCTAGTATCTAAAATCAATAGTTGCTTTTTATATTGTTGTGCAAAAATTTCGATAGTTTCCAACAGCTTTCTTGCAACTCCTTTACCCCTAAAATTGTTACCCACCATTAACTTTTGAACCTCTGCTCTATGATTACAATTTGTAAAAAACTTTGAACTCCATGATAATTGAACAGTGCCCGAAATTTTATTATCGATATATGAAACTAATAATACTCTTGTAATTTCATTTTCGTTGTCTTTTAAATCTTTTTCTATCTTATCCCAATATTGCTCTGCTGATTCCTTTGACAATGGATGTGCAAAGCCCAAATCACCAGTCTCAACACTCTCTACTAATAATTTGACTAATTCTTGTTTTAATTCAACACTGAGGGATTTTATCTCTTTTATTTCCATTTATATATTACTTGTTATTGATTCTCTAAAATTTCTGAAAAAAAAAAAATTCTAATAATTATCGTTAAAAAAAATATTTTTTTTTTTTTTTAAATTTTTTAATTTATAATTCAGAATTTTTTTTTTTTTTTTTTTTTTTTTGGCACAAGACAACCCAAACCCAAAAATATCTATTTGCATTATAATATAATAAATATAAATATTTGAAATGTCGGAATATAAGTTCATTAATTTTCCACATTTTGTAATAAGAAAAATATTTCGAGAATTGGAACATAGTGGTCCAAAGCTCTATGGTCTAAAGAGATATTCAACTGAAACCACCATTAATGGTATTCATTTCTGTAATTCTACAAGTGTACAATTCATTTACTTGTCGCTTGTTTCAAAAGATTGGGCCAATCATATTATTCCAAATATAGAAATACCATGGTACGTTGCAAACGAAAGGGACTTTTATTTTTATAATCTATGGTCAACAAAAGGAATTTTTAATAACATTTATAAACCCATAGTATTTGATGTAGAAAGAATAGTATTCCAAACAGCAGATGACCAATACCAATATCCATCAATTCCAAAATCAATAAAAAATATTTACAATTTTGAAATCCATCAACTTGTTCAGGAGGTTCCTTATGAAATGCCACAAGATGAATCAGAAATATTTAGTAGATTTCGTTTTAACCATTTAAAACATTTAAAGGTCAGTTTATACCATTTATTTATAAGCGCCAATACGACACATTACTACCCAACATTTGCAATTCCCTCAAAAGAAGTTTTGAAAGATAATGAAACATTTATTGACTTTGCAAGAGTAAATTCGAAAATAGAGAATTTAGAGCTAACTGGCACAAGAGGCGTTATCATCAATGTAGGCTTTCTATCCAAACTATTAACTGGATCAATAAAGAAATTAAAAATCTCATCATCCTCTTTATACTTTGAGAATGAACTTCTCGAAGAGCCAGTCGATGGTACAACAACAATAGTTCCTGTTCTCGATTTTATGCAAAACATGATAAAAGCCAATTTATTTTTTCGTTTGCAATCTTTAAAGCTTATCAATACTAATATCAGTAGTGATTTTATAGCACTCACCAACTTAAAAGAATTAAAACTTTCAAACTCCATTGGCTATATTGGCAGGATAATCGAAAAAATGCACACCAACCAAACACTAAAGGTTTTATCAATCACTGAGAAGATCACCCAAAATAATAATATTGTTTTAAAAGCTATAAAAAAACTATTCGAGACCAACAATACTCTGGAAAAAATTACCCTCGATTTCAGTGTGACCTACGATCCACAAGATATTACCCAAGATTCTATCTATGGCGACTCTATGAATTTAATAGTTTCAGTAACATCAGACTCACTAAAAAGATTGAAGATTATTAGCAACACAAATGTTATCATTCAAAGTGCACCATTATTAGAACGTTTAATTATTATTGATAAACAAATCAATAAAAGCCACACAAATAACTCAATATGTGACTACAAAGAATTACCAAAACTTACTCATTTCGGATTCATTGGTAAAATAACCAATCAACCATTAAAAGAATTTTTATTAAATTTAAACAATTCAAATATTTTATACTTGGAGCCATTTCAAATTATAAATAAAAACAATAATAATAATAATCAATTTTCAATTATAAATTTATTAAATAATAGCAAAGATTTTAAAATCAGAAACCTAAAAATTAATATTGATAATAATTTATTCGTTTATAATTTAATTCAGTCACTATCTCAAGTATCATCAATAGAGCATTTGGAATTAACTCTTGGCTTTTCAGTTTATTATAAAGAAAATGAAAAGAAGTGTATTGCTTTGTTGATCCAAGAATTATTATATTCATTATTAACTCAAGAAAACTCAACCAAGAGCCTCAAATCGATTAGAATTACAAATAATAATATCGAGATATGTAAATGTGAAAATTCAAATAATTCATGCAAATCATTTATCGGCCAATTTAACCTTATCGATATTATTCATAAAAACAACCACATTACTTTACATCTTCCTTCAATATTAAAAAGAAGTCTCACCCCACATTTTGAAAATAATAATAATTCAATCAAGATCTCAAATGTTAGTGTTAACAGATGGTAATTTATAAAAAAAAAAAAAAAAAAAAAAAAAAAAAAAAAAAAAAAAAAAAAAAATTCAAATTCAAAGTTTTTCAAAATTCCCCTAAATTTTTTTTAAAAACATCCATTCACATAATTTTAAAAACATTAAATAAAATAAATACAATAAAAACCATTATACTTTTTTTTATTTTTTTTATTTTAAAATTATTGCCAGGATATTTGATTGTCATAATAATTTTTTACAAAAAGATAATGGTAAAAAAATAAGAATTCTTTTGGCAATTTTGCTTTCATAATTATTTTGTTTTCAAAAAAAAAAAAAAAAAAAATGTTCCTTTAAAAAAAAATTTAAAATAAAGATTTTTTATTTTTTTAAAAATTTTTTTAAATTTTTTTTTTTATTTATTTATTTTGTTCTTTTATTTTTTTTTTAAAAAAAAAAAAACCATTCTATTTTTATTTTTAGTTATATTTATATATATATATTTATTATATTATATATATTTATACATGTAATTTATTTGATATATTTTTCTCTCTTTTTTATTTTTTTTATTTTTTTGTTTATTTAAAAAATTATTTATTAAATAATTTTTTTATTATAATTTTTTTAAATTTTTAAATTAGATTTGTTGTAAAATAAAAAAATAAAATAAAATAAAAAAAAAAAATAGTGGAAATAAATAAAATAAAAAATGGAATCAAAAGATAATAATATTAATAATAATAGTAATAATAAAAAAGATGGAAAATCATTTAATGATGTAATGTCATACTGGTCGATTAAAGATTCAGGAAATAAAATACCAATTATACCATTGCAAAGTAGTAATTCAAAAATTGTAAATTCAAATCGTTCAGATGGACAGGAGATTCAAAGAGAATCAATCAGTTGTTATAGCTCCGTTGCATTAAATAGTGAGGATCCTCAAATAGATTCAATTAATAATTATAGTTCAAATCCATTATTAACAAATAATGATACATCAGCAGCAGCAGCACCACAACAACAACCACCACAAATAGAAAACTCTATGTCAGAAGAAAGGGGTCATGAATATGATGAGTTTTTAAATAAAAGAGAAGAGGAACCAAAAAACCTATCGAAAGAAGAGCAAGAAGAAAGAGACGAAAAATTATTAACATTTTACAAACCAAGTACAAATTCAGACTCTGGTTCAAATTATAATGTGTCAAATTATTCACCAGCCGCTGCATCATACTCTGTTCAATCTTATTCAGCTGCTGGTATTTATTCAGCATCAGTTTTAAATCAATCAAGACAAAAAGAGCACAAACAACAACAACAACAACAACAACAACAAGAGCAAAAACAAGATAGTAATGGTGATACAATATATTCTATTGCAAATGCTTACAGTAGTGCAAATGGTAATGCTTACAATGGCAATGCTTATAATAGCAATGCTTATAATAGTAATGCATATAATAGTAGCAACACCAATAATAAATTAACAATGAATGGAGATGAAATTAATTATTCAACAGAGGTTTACCGTACTGAAACTCCTTATGGCAGCGATTCCTATAAAAGTGTTGTTCAATCATCTGGCTCATCTGCTTACAATCCATATGGTGTTGAAAATTATAATCCTAGCACCGACAGTAGCGCAAGTAATTATTCACAAGATAACGAAGAGGAATTTTTCATTTCAACAAATGAAGATATTCATAGAATCAACACTTTACCAGAAGAAAAATCAGAATGTTCTTGGGTGAGTAAGTATTTATTTATTAATTTACATTTTCAATAAAAAAAAAAGTGCAGTGATTAAATTTTAATTTTTTTTTTTTTAACAACATTTTACTTGAATTTAAACTTATTTTATAGATTCTGGATCAAATTGGAATGAAGCTTTTCAACATTTTATGGACTTACCATGTAGCGAAGATAAATATAAAAACTTATCAAATATTGCAAACGATTTTGTATATTGTGCCGATTCATTTGGTAAAATTATTATTTCAGAACTTCATTTACCACACGAACAAAAAACTATTAAACCATTAGCCTTGGGTGGTGTTGCTGGTGGTCTTAAATATATGTGTCAAAATATTATATTCAAGTTTGTAATTGATACTGAATTAGTACCAGGTATATGGATGTATGGTGAAACTAAAAGATCAGATGAAAAAGCTCAAAAATCAGCAGGCCATGAAGTAATATATTATTTATTTAATTTTATTTTTATTTAACAGTTTTATTAATTTTTTTTTTCATATTTTTAAAGATTAAAGGTTTAAATAATTTTTTAGAATTAAGTAATGGTTTAGTTCGTTTCCCATTAATGGCAATTATTGATTACAGGGGTTATAGACTTTTAGCAATTTCAGCATTACCAATTAACAAGAAAACTATTGTTTATGGTTCATGTGATGGTGGAAATACAGTACATTGTTCAGATGAAAAGATTAATCAAGAAATGGAAAGAATGTGTAAAATATTAAATCTTACAGGTCATGTTGTTGGTGCCAATAAAGTTTTTATCTATGGTCCAGGTGATATTGAAATTCATAAAGGTTTTGACAATCGTTATTATATGATTGATTTTGCAAGAATATTTCCTCCAATGTATCCTTGTGTATTAAATTCAAATAAAAAGATTGGAAGAGATATTTTCTATTCAATGATCAGACCAGAGTTGTTAACAAGATCAACAAAACCATTAAGCTCAGATGGTTTCTCTGGATGGCAAACTGACACATTGGACAATGTAAAATCATTAAACGATGATATCAAAAAGCTTTCTGAACGTTTACATAGTGAAATCATTCCAGAGTGTATTAAAATTTTAGATGCATCCAAAAGAAAGAAGGGCAATAGAAATGGTGAAACTCTAAGTGCCGATGGTCAAATCTCATCATCCAATTATTCATCGAATTTCTCATTTTCATCAGATAGTGCTTTTACAAATAATTCAACCTCCTCAGATTCATCAGTTTCATCAGATGAAATTTTAGCAATGGAAGAAATGTCATTAGATTTTACCAATGTTGGTGTTGGTGCTAAAAGAACTGGTAAAGATTTTACCGAGAAATGTTTAGAAATGTTAAAATTAATCGATTTTATTCACAGTCGTGGTGTAAACTTAAAATATCTTGGTTTAATTGCAAAAAGTGTCGGCGATAGAGAGATCAGGAATTTGATGTTGACCGAAGTATGTGCAAGGGTTTGGAAGAGAATCATTAGATCTAAAATTAGAGAAAAGATGGATAAAAGCAACAGACCATCCGAGGGTCCATACAAACAAATCCTTTCAGACATTTTCGAAATTATTCTTTCTACCAACAAAGCCAAATACAAAGAGTTTTGGTCCTCTACATCTTCAGGAAATTTCAAATATGTAGCACTACGTGTTTTCCCCAAGTGTTTATCAAAGAATGATCGTTCTGAATCTATGGATCTAAGAAGTAGTATTGATACTAGATTCTTGGCTTATAGAATTATCCTAATGTTAAATATTAGGGTAAACAATTCAGCATTCGAACAGTTCCTTTCCAATCCAAAATACATCATCTCACACAAGGATATCGAAGAAGTTGGTTCAGTTGTAAAATATCCAAATATTATTGATTTTGCAGCTGGTTCTTATCTTTTCTATGAATCTCAAAGAATTACAAACGAATCCGATTCTATTCCAGTCGAAATTTCACGTTGGATCGAAAATTCACAAATGAAATTAAGAAGCGCTGCTCGTTCTATGCCATTATCATATAAAGTTTTGGTTAGATCATCAATGGCCAATATGTTATTGGCAAATATTTCTACAAATTTCAAAGAGTCAATCGATATCTGTAGAACCACTTTAGATACTATTCGTCGTACCAAATCAAGACATAAGGGCCAATCACAACTTTTAGCATTGGAGGGTATGCTTCGTTTGAAATTAGCAAATTATTTATTATTTTGCTCACACAATTATCAAGAGTTTAGATTTGAAATCGAACTTGCACGTGCCAAACTTGAAGAGGCCTTATCTATTGATATCAATTCTGTCGAAGAGTTTCTCCATCAATCATTACCAATGGAAAGATACTTTGCAAAGAACGAACTCCGTGATAAAACATTGCTTTTTAGCGAAAGACGTCGTTACAATGAATTGTTCTCAATGGTTTTAATGATGCACGAAGCCAGTGAAACCTCTATTCTTCGTACCTATTTACCAACTGCATTTTCAAAAATTGTACAAATTAGAGACCTTAGTATTCCAAATGCCCTAGCCCGTTTATTAGATGCCAGCAGAGTTAATCAACTATTGGAACAATTGCCAAATATGAGGTGTATGACAGTTGCAAAAACATCATTAACCTCCGATATTTGTTATAATATTTTAAATATGAAAAATTTAAAGAATATTAAATTAGACCATTCTCATATTAGAACCAACAATAACATCAACACTAAGGATCTTCCAATTATTAGTAATTACAATCAATTTATGAAGCTGCTTTTAACCGAATTACCATCATTACTATCATTACAATTGGATTCAAAATCAATTTGCGATGAAGATTTTGAAGGTATCCATCACCTCTTTGATAGATTGTATAATTTATCCATCAGTGACTCTCAAATCACAGATAAAACATTAATTGCTTTAGCTCCACACCTCAAGAATCTTTGTTCTCTTTCATTAACCGTTAGTAGAGACTATGGTGATGAAGGTTTAATAGCAGTTTTAGAATCAGTCCAAGATCGTTTAAAGAAGCTTTGTGTATCTTACAACTCTAAAATAACAGATAAATCAGCCCAAGTTATTGCTAAACATGCCACCAAATTAGAAGAGCTTTTAATTGCTCGTACTCGCTTCTCTGACGAAGCCATTGCCAACATTGCATCTAAAACCGAAAAGATTCAAATTTTAGATCTTTCATCCACCAATACTGATGTATCCACGGTCTATGCATTAAATACTCATGGTGCTAAGAATTTAGAAAAACTATATCTTGCTGAATCTCAAAAGATTAACGATGTTTACATTGAACTTTTAATTAACCTCAAATTAAATCTCAAAGTACTTCATTTACCAGAATGTGATTGTGCTGATGAACTCTTATGGAAACTTTTTAGCAAACTTAATAATATCGAAGAACTCTCAATGCCTAATCATTTCCATTTGCCATCATTCATGGAAAGCTACGAACCAAGTGGTGCTTTTATAGAAGAATGTGATCAGCCACTCTATTCTTTAAAAACTTTAAATTTAACCATGTGTACTATATCATTAAACTCACTCCAAGATCTATTCCATCTCGTTCCGCAACTAGAATCACTCAGTATCAGTGCTGTTACTTATGTAAATGACCAATCCATTATACTGGACCTAAATATGGACGTACTTTATTCAATGGTTCCATTATTCTACAACCTTCGTGAAATCAATCTTTCAAATAGTAAATTTATAGATTCAAGACAAATTCGTTGTTTAATTTCAAAATCACCTTCATTAAGAAATATTCATTTATGGAATTGTGATTTAATTAATTCTCAACAATTATATGATTTATCATGTCAATATCCATATATTCAATTTGATTAACTTTTAAAAAAAATTTTTACAACAATAAACCAAATCAAGTATTAATAAATGTTTATTTTCTCCATCGATTATTATAAAATAATTATTTCATGTGATTTTCACTACATATAATGAAAATTTCTATGCTTTATATTATTTTTATTTTTATTAAAATATGCATAAATTTTTTATTTTTATTTTATATATTTGTACAAAGTATAATTAAAATTTTGAAAAAATAAATAGTTGTAATTTAACCTATATTTTTAATATCAATAATATCAGTATTAACTCTAAGTAAAAATAATAAAAAAAAATTTATTTAGGTTCATTTAACTATAAAAATCCAAATTTTTAAAAATCAAATTCCAAAATTTCATTTTTTCTCATATATTATGATTTATTTTTGTAAATATATAATTTTTTATTTTTATTTAATGATTTATATAGTTTTGTAGAGAATTATTTTTTGTGTTTATATGTGTTTAAATTATATAATTATTAGAATAAAAAAAAAAAAAAAAAATTCTTATTTTTTGGTGATTTTTTATTTTTATTTTTGTGTGTGTAAATATTCTATTTGAGATAATTATATTATATATTATATATTTTTGTAGATAATAATAATTTTAATTTATTTATACTAAAATTTAATTTAAACAAAAGTATAATATTACTTTTTTTAATTAAAATGAAAAAAAAAAAAATAAAAAAAAAATAAAAAAAAAAAAATAAAAAAAACTAATTTATATAGAAACTCTTCATTTTTTTTTTTTTAGTATCATTCCATTATTTAATTATATATATATATATATATCTTATACTTTTTTACTCAAGAGGTTTTATTTAAAATTAAAATGGTCAATTTTTTAAAATAAAAAAAAATTGAAAAAAAAAATTAAATATACATCAAAATAGTGTATAAGTAAAAATGGTTGTAAGTCTAACAAATTTTATTTTTATTTAATTTTTATAATATTTTTTTAGAGAGTATTATTTTTTTTATTATTTTTTTGTTTCGGTTTTTTTTTTAAAATTTTTTTTTTAAAATTATAATTATTATAATTATCAACAAATTTATAAAATGAATACTTTCAATAAAAGAAAAGCAATCAATGAATTAAATCAAAGTCGGGGAAAAATTGTAACTGAAGAACTCTTTTTGGTTGATAGTGATACGTACGCAAGACCTGAAAATAAATATTATGGAATATCATTAGAAGAGGTAATTAGTTTGTTTTTCAATAAAAAATTTGTAAATAGTTTTTTGGAGCTAACAAATCTTAATTTAAGTAAAATCAACTCAGAAAAAGAAGAGATTTATAAAAGAGAATTTGAAGGAGGTTCCAAAAAGTATAAATTTAAGCCTATTTCAAGGATTACCAAAGAAGAGCTTTTTGAATATTGGTCTATTACCTAAATGTTAGATTTGGGTGTTTTTAAAACAATTATGGAAATAATAAACCATAGTAATACAAAAATGAAAAGAAACAGATTTTTTTTGGTTCAATCAACAACCAAATTTACAGATGATCAAATTAAAAGAATTGCAGGTGAAATGAGTGATATTAGTTATTATTTGGTAGAAGGAATTAAAGTTTGCACCCTTGACGAAAATATATATAAATATATCCTAAATTCAGATTCAAAAGAGAAATATATTCAAGATAATAATAAATCTCCAATTATATGTATACCTCGTAAACCTCATGCAAATGGTCTTTTAAGTTATATGGTTGGAACCTTTTTAGAACGTATTCATCATTTGTCATCCCCTAAAAAAAGCCCAGAATCATCACCAAAAAGAGGGTCTTTTAAAATCCATATATTATAGAGTTTTTAAACAAGCTAGATAATGAAATAAATCCCTCAAGTAGTGTTGATCACGTATTAGGAACGTATAAAGATTTTAAATTTCACTTAGTTGGCGATAGTGCATTTTTTTCCAAAGATAATTTAAATCATATAGTAAATAAAGGTTGGTTGGCAACAATTTCAGATTCCTCAAGTAGCAACATTAACACATTGCTCAAAGATACATTAAAAGATGATAAAAGTTGGATTGCAATAGAACTTGATGGTTATTATAAAGTCTGTAAAATTGATGAAAGAGACGAAAAAGTTCCTACATTTAAATCAATTGCAACAACTGGTTTTAAAACTCAAAATCGTGAAGTTAATCCAAGT